GCTATTACAGAGGAAGTAGTTGAGATATGGAAAGAGAACAATTATTTTTTCTTTCTTTTTTTTTTTTTTTTTTGCGGCATTGGGGATTGAACCAGGGGCTCCTTACCACTGAGTCACATCTCCAGACTTTTTTATTTTTATTTAGAGACAGAGTCTGGCCTACCTCAGTCTTCCAAGTAGGTGGGTTTACAGGCATGCGCCACAGCACTGGGTAAGAGAACAGTTCTGATGACATTGTCTATGTACCTGGATCCAACTTCTCCTAGGACTTCAGTCATGAGAACCCTAAGATTCCTTTTCTGCTTAAATCAATCTGAGTTTTGCTTTTGTCACTTATAACTGAAAGAGCTTTTGTACTTAGTGTATGTGTGTCATTATCTATTGCAGCATAACAAACCACCCCAAAACTCTGTGGTTTAAAACAACAACTTATTATTTATTATAGTTTTGTGGGCTGACTGGGCCATTCTTCTGCTGGTTTCACCTAGGCTCACTCATGTAACTGCTGGGATAGAAGGTTCAAGATGGCCACATCACATATGGGACTATTGGGTGGGGGCATCAGTTTTTATCCGTGTGCTCTTTTGTCCTCCCTAGGATAGACTGACTTCTTGTATGGAGATAGTGTTCTAAGAGAGTGAAGGTAGAAGCTGCAATGCTTCTTGAGGCCTGAACTCCAGAACTTGTATAGCACAACTTCTGTCCTATTCCTGATTCTAAGCAAGTCATAATGCTCAAGTCAAGAGTGAATTAAGGGGCTGGGGCTGTAGCTCAGTGGTAGAACACTTGCCTATCACATGTGAGGCACTGGGTTTGATCCTCAGCACCACATAAAAATAAATCAGTAAAATAAAGGTATTGTGTCCAATTACAACTAAAAAAATAAATATTTTAAAAAAAGAATTTAAACAACAACAACAAAGAAAGAGTGAATTAAGGTCCTGGGGATGTAGCTTAGTGGCAGAGCACTTGCCTATCACGTGTGAGGCACTGGGTTTGATCCTCAGCACCACATAAAAATAAATAAATAAAATAAAGGTATTGTGTCTATCTACAATTAAAAAAAGAAATTTAAAAAAAGAGTGAATAAAGAACTCTACTTCATCATAGTAGAGTTACAAAGACTTTGTGGTGATACTTAATCTACCACAGTGTGATAGAGAGCTGAATCATAGGTAGGAACATTGTGGGAATTAAAAGTCGTTATAGGAAGTATGGTACATGTGTAGGCAGCTGATCCAGACTCTTATAGGCATGTTTTCACTGAGGAATCAACAGTTGGTGTGTGATTTCCATTGTGGCTTCTGTGAGGGCCTCATGATGCCATCTACATTTGGCCTCTGATTCGCAGGGGCAACTTTGAGCTAAAGACCTACTATATCTGAGGGACTTCACTTCTTTGAACTTGAGTTCTTCCTCTGTAAAATGAACATGATTGATCACTCCTGCCTCGCAGATTGGCTGTGAGGCTACAGATGAGAATGTGCTTCATAAATTACAGAGTGCCGTATATTTGTGGTTAAACATTGTTATCTGCTCTCTGAGGAAAGAATAATCGAGATGGGTCTGGGTAGTCAGAGAGGACAGTAAGCTGGAGACTGATCACACTGGCAGGGAGAAAGTTCTGTATTTCAAGATGAGAAGCTGAGGAATAAAATTATACGTGAACAGAGGTAGAACAGTGACAGACTGTGCCTAGGACAGGTAGGAGAGCCACGTGGTCAGAGGGGAAGCCCCCACTACCCTGGACTCTAGGTTTCTGGGCCCCCCAGGCAGTTGGTCAGTAGCCCCTAAGGTCTCCGAGCTGCAGCCAAGGCTTCCAGCCTCCAAGGATCATCAGAGTCCTGTCCCTACCCAGGCCTGCAAGACCTCTTCGAGCCACAGGGAGGCGACAGAGGAGGGGAGGGGAGAGGCAATCAAAGAGAGAGCACCTTCCTCTGGAACCATCAGGATCAGGTCAGCCACCTCCATGTGTTTCCAAGCTTCTCTTTCAACAGCAGGGTGGGGACCCCAGGCTCTAAGCTTGGGTCACAGGCCATGTGGCTAAACTGGCTCCTAGTCCTTCCATTCCCTGGGCGGGGGTGTGGGGGTTGATTGATGAATTCCCCTGTGTTCCAGGCTGGGGCTTGGAGCTGCTGGAGACCAGCCTAGTGTGAAGAAGCCCCAGATGGTGACTGGTGGCTGAGACTGACCCCTCCAGGCCAGGCCCTGGACAGTCTAGGCCTATGGCCACTTCCCAAACCCTCTCTGTCCTTGGATCCCAGCTGAGGAGAGCAAAAGCCTCTTACTCAAAGGAGTTTGGAAGGAGAGGATCAGGGAAGGCTCAGATTCCCCCAGACTAGCCCTGTGCAACAACCAGTCCAGTCCAACTTGGGAACAGGAAAGGACTCTGATGAGAGTTTGGGAGGGGGGACAGAATATGAGCTGGGGGGACATAAACAGCAGGGTTGGCATTAGAACCCAGAGATTCTAGCTCACAGTCCCTCACACTGGTACTATCCAAGATGACACCCATTGGCCACTTGAGGCTAGGTAAATGAAGGCCTGCATCTGAGTGCTAGGCCAAGCAAGGAGACCCAGGCAGGAATCCTGGCCCAGAGGCTCCACTTTGCCAAATCCTTACCCCATAGGATACTCTGCCTCTGCCTTGCACTACAGAGAGACAAGAGAGGCAACTGGGAAGCAGGAGAGGCCTTTTTCACATGCCGTGGGGTCCCATGGCATAAGCTCTTCGAAAATAGCTGATGACCTTGACCTTGATCCCTAGATCTATAGTTTACCTCCCTACACCTTCCTTTCCTATCTTTCTTTTTAAAATCTAGCCTCTCTGGTCATGTTGCTTCTCTGGCCTGCCTTCTGATCCTGGCCACATTTCTTGGAACCGTCATTCCTTCCTTTCCTTTCTGATTCGCAGGGGCAACTTTGAGCTAAAGACATACTATATCTGACCAGCCTAGTGTGTTTCTTCTAGGTATGTTACCCAACCTTGCAATTTCAGAGCTGGCAGGGCTTATGAGCTCACTCAGTCCCAACTCCTACTACCCATTTGGGGATTCTGAGGCTCAGGGTTACTTGGGTTGTTGTTAGTCCAGGGTCACACATCAGGATCAGCAACAGAGCCAGCATGAGGCTTCTGACTTCCAAGTCCATATTTTTCTCCTGTCCTTTGTTCTGCCTATGGTGATTCAGCCTCAGTCTGTCTATTCCTCAAACCAGCAGAGCTTACGTGAGCTTCACTCTGTTCAAACATCTGCTGTCAAAGCCTTGGGTGAAACTGCTTCATGGGTTGGCTCTGATACTTTGGACCAGACTGGGGCCAGTTATGAGGCCCATTGGCCAAAGACTGGGGGCTGGAAGGAAGGCTCCAGGAGAGAAAGCAAATCAGATTTGTGTCTTATGGCTGCTGGGGGGCTATTGTTGCTCAACATCTTTTCTCCACTCCCACTCCTCTCCCCAACAGCTCCTGGCTAGGGTGATGTCCAGAGAAAACAGAGCTGCTAAACCCCTGCTTACACAGAGAGAAAGGCAGACACGGCATATACACAGGCCCATACACACAGAGAGATATAGAGACACGCGGTAGGAGCACGTGCATAACTGCACAGGGCTCTCTGGCATGAAGATTTGCACTGCCACACTATGGGATCATTTCCACAGGAGGCTCTTTCCTCTGAGTGAAAACACAGGTCTCTTCTCATGACTTCCCAGTGTCCAGTCTAGATCCTGCCCCAAATAAGAGCTCAGTGAGGTTATGTGGAAAGAGTGACCCTGGTGTGGTTAGTCCCAGAGACAGACCTTCACCTCCAGGGGCTGGAACAAGGCAGGAAGCCCAGGCCAGGTTGGAAGAGCCTGTGACATGAGGCAGGAGGCAGGAGACTCCTGTTGTGGTCGTCATCTTCTGCTTCCACTTGGGGCTCTATCCTTGTGGCTGGCAGTTCTTCTAAAAATATGGTTCAAGAACCAGCAGCTGGGCTAGGGTTCTAGCTCAGTGTTAGCATGGGTAGCAGTGCCTAGCATGGGTGAGGCATTGGGTTTGTTCCTCAGGACCACATAGAAACAAGCAAATAAATAAAGGTTAAAAAAAAAAACAAAAACCCAGCAGCTTCCATATCACCTTGGAGCTTGATAGAAATGCAAAGTCTCAGGCCCCACTGAATCAGAAACTCTGAATGTGGGTCCATAAATCTGTATTTTAACAGCCCTGGGAGTGATCTGAATGCATGTTATAATTAGAGAGCCACTGCCTGAGACAATGGGCAGCCAACCTCATGCTGGTGCCAGAAGAACCAGGGAAGTCCTAGAGCACAGGCAGCTGCTCACGCCACCTATGGGTGAGACTGGCTGCTCACGTGCTGATGAACGCCCATACCTGACTTCACATTTACTCACTGAGATGTCTGGTCTTCGAGAGTCCACATGCTGGGGATCTGGGGTCCCCATGAGTACAAACCAACACATGGAAGTAGGGAGGGTCAGGTAGAACTTTTTTCACCAAGTGATATTCTGTGTCCTGCACTTCCTTTGTCCCTCATTCCTTTGGAAGTTCCCAGAGGTTCCCTCAGATTAGAGAAGCTGAATAGCTGCCCAACTGAGACCAGATGCATCCAACTGAGAGGCCATGGTGGCCTGCATGCCTAAGAATGCTTGAAGTATGTGCCAAGGCTAGCAAAGTGCTTTCTCTCTGCAAAGGGGGAGCCAGGGCCAGGGGAATGTGGGGGATCAGCAAGCAAAGCTTAGGCAAGAGCGCACCATCCCCAGAGCCCTGAAATGCTGCCAGATGTAGAATTCTCCTTGGCCCTTTCCCAAGGCTCCTCTCAGTGCCCAACCTACCTCCTGACCCCTGCCTCTCTGTTCTGGCCTGTGGAATGCCAGGCAGATGCCCACCTGGGCCATCATCAGACCCATGGCATGCCCCCTAAGGATCTAGACATGAAATCCCAGCCTCTGTGAGCTGCAGGGAGTGTGGGGAGGGGAGGGAGGCTCATGCTCAGATCTGGTTTCACTGCTGCTTCCCAGTGGCTGGCTGCCACAGGCTGAGCCACCAGCTGTGCTATATAAGGCCCACGCTGGACTGCGGGAGAGGCGAAGACTTGGACCCCCGCTAAGGAGTCCTGCTCAGGACACGGTGAGCTGCACTCCTAATTCTCTTGCCCATCCCTGTACCAAACTGTCTGATTTAGCTGCTCCTGGCCTCCCTTGGCCACCCTCTTTCTTTTTCTTTTCTTTCTTTTTTTTTCTCTTTGACCCATCATCTTCCAACAGAGAAGACTCTACTTTCTGCTTTGAAATGCTGTCTCTTCCCCATTTAGCCCTCCCCCAGCCAAGATCAGGGACCCCCACCCCACCCCATGGCCCCACTCTGGGTCTCTATACCTCTGGTTGCCTTGCTTTCTTCTTGCGGCCAGCCAGTGTGCATTGTCCAAGAGTTCTGCGGAGCGTGGGTTCAGGGAGCCTGAATGTCAGGGCATTTGCTGAGGAAATGGTGGGACTCTGAGAAACCTCCCTGGGCTGCCAGATGGGAAATGGTTTTTCCACAGGGTGCCTCAGGCCACCTTAGCCTCTCAGACTTGCCTGGAACAGGCTTGGGCTGAGTGCTGTGCAGGCCTGCGGAATGCTCAGGCCCCTGCTCAGCTCCCCGGTGCTTGGAATAAGGCCTGCAACAACTGAAGCAGTGACTTCCCTGAGACTCTGTTCCCTCCTCTAAGAAACAGGTGGGGAGGGGTTAGTGATTTTTGGTCTACAGGGTCTGCAACGTGGAATTGGTTTGTCCTTCCCCTGGAACATCTGAGTTTTTCCATCTTTTTCTCAGAAAGGAGGCATCTCCCCTTTCCCACCACACCCTAGACTCTGTGGAGATTGAAGGAAACCAATTTTGAATCTCCAGAAACTGGTTAGATTCTGGATTGGCCAGAGCTCTGGGGAGAGAGAAAAATGTCCTGCCGAGAGCCCAGCCCACACACGTCCCACAGTCCCCTAACCTTATTGCCAGGCCTGTTGTCCTCTCCCCACTCCTGTAGCCCCTACATGCTCAGCGTTTTTTGGGGAGCCCTGGCCACTCACAAGGCACCCTGTCTGCTTTCCCTCAATTGGCTCCTGGCTGTGGAACTCCCACCCAGGCCCCAACAAAACAAATCAGAATGTGTTCCAGCTGCAGCGCGTGCACATCTGGGAGGTGGTGTGCGAGGCATCTGCGCCCTTCAGCTGCCTGCTATTGCTGGACCACGGTGATCAGGGCCAGGGCTGCACTGTCTTTATATTTAGCCCCCATTCAAGAGTGTGAACCCCACCAAAGTGTAGCAGAACAAAAGGCCCCCAAGCCCAGGTCTTGAAAGTGATTTATTTACAAGTCATCTAGAAGCTGCTGGAAGACTTGTAAATAAATCCTGGTCCCTCCCTTGGCAGGGAACCTCTTCACTTTTACTCTCCCTGGTGACCCACCTCTATAGGGACACTGGGTTGGAAACTGGATCTGCCTCTTTTGAACTCAGATTCTGAGCCTCTGCATCTCCCAAGCTGCTCAGTTTTGCAACTTGAGGAGATAACTCCCACAAGACTGCATTCTGGCCATCCTTCCATCCTTGACATGTCAAGAAATATTGCACTCAGAAATGTGGGATCTAATAAGCTTTGTTTCTTTTCAGGTCATTGGATCTGAGAAGATTTCCAGGGAACCACATTCCTAAGACAAGCTGACTCTGAAACACCCTCGCCCATCTCCTGCCACATTCTCACAAGGCCTGGGGAAAAGAATGGTGGGAACAAAGGCCTGGGTGTTCTCCTTGCTGGTCCTGGAAGTCACCTCTGTGTTGGGTACAGGCTAAGTATCTGCTAGCTCCCAAATCCTCCATTTACCATAGTGAAGTCATGTCTGTTCTAGCACCCAATTATGCAACACACAGGCCCTAAGATCTAAGGCTGTTTAATGGTGTATTCATAATTTGTGCCCTGCTTCCCTCCCCTTCCCAAGTTTGAGAAGGTTCTCCATATTAAAACTCACAGAACAAAAACTTTTTAAAAAAATTTTTAACTTGTCTATAGACCTTTATTTTTTTATTTATATGTGGTGCTGAGAAATAAATAAAGGTCTAAAGACACCCAGAGCATCACACATGCCAGGCAAGTGCACTACCTCTGAGCCACAGCCCCAGCCCAAGAACAGAAACTTTTAAATGAGGAGAAGGGTGAAGGAAAAAACAGGGGAAAGTTATTGCACCTGAGTCCTAAATTTAGCTCTGAGCTTCCCGGCAGCCAGAGCAAAAGGGAGTCACAGGGGATCACTGAATTCTTGGAAGCAGGTTTAGGGGTTGGTCTGTTTTTAGTTTCATGAAAATTCTTCTGTTCTAAAGCTCAGTTTCATTTAGACCCCACAGCCAAATTTCACAGAAACTCCAGAACCCCTCTGTTCTTCTTGTCCTCTTGAACCCATCCTCTGATAAATTTGAACTCTGAAAAAAACAAGCAGAGAGAAGTTGCCTGATGGGATTGCAGACTTCCTGCGGCAGTAGAGCTCCTGCATGCTATTTCCCACCTCTCCCTCTCTCCTGATTTCTAACTATATACTCAGATCATGGGGGAAAAAATCTCAACCCCCCTTTTTTAAAGCTGCATGCCCTGCAGGCTTTGTGACCACAGATGCAGGAACAAAGGCTGTCTCAGCATAGCGCCAACCCCTGTGTGCACCCACCTTCTGCCTCACTCTTCCACCCTGACAGCTGCTGTTTGTGAAGATGATTAACATTCAACCATCGGAGGGGAAATCAGATTAGGTTGATTAAAAGAGCTCCTATCACCCCAGTTAAGCAGCACAGAGAATTCTGACTTGGCTCCCCGCCTGGGAGTTAATTGCCTTTCAAGGCTTTCTAGCCTTTCTCCTTCCATTCCAGAGCCCCCAACTCAGCCTCACATGGAGGAAGGCTCGGAAATGCCCATGACCTGAGGACCCTGTATTTATCCTCAGACAGACCAGCCAAGTCTGAGGTCAAAAAAATCGAGGACTACTGACCCAGTTAAGCCATGAGTCCTCTATGGGAGGGTGGACTCCCAAAGCCAGACTGCCAAGGGAAGGGTAATGGACGTCCATTGTGCCGGGCATTGAGCTAACAGCGTTGCTAACACTTATTCTGTGCACACCGGGTGCCAGGCATTGTTCTAGGTGGATTTTATGAATGAACATTTGTAATCCCCGCAATCTCCTTAGGCAGGAACTGCTATCATCCTCATTTTATAAGGAGAGAACACGGGGCCAGATGGGTTAAGTAGCTTGCCAACGTCACGCAGTTAGGAGGTGGCAGAGGCTTCAGAGCTCCTGCTCTGTCTTCGTACACTTCAGAGATGTTGATGTTTTAAGTCATGGAATCCTCATGCCAGAATCACACAATGAGGTGGGAATTAACATCTCCATTTTACAGTTGAGAAAAGGCTCAGTTTTGCCAAAAGATAGGTCGAGACACCAAAGCAGGAGTCCCAGCCCATTGGCTGCCCAGCGGTTTCTGCTTACCCATTTCTAGAACATGAGTGAAAAGCGAACTACCATTCATGGAGCACGCCCTACTTGCCAGTTCCCTTTCCATTTATTATTACCCTGAATAATGCACCATAATCACTTATGATGTAGTGATTATTAATGCATTTCTATTTTAGGGGGAAACAGGTGCAGAGGAATGAAGACTTTCTGAGGTGGCACAGCTGTGAGTGGTGCAGTGGTGAAGCCCCATGGCCAGGACTCATGCTGCATCCACCACACCACACGGCTTCCCTGTGTTTTAAGAGACCCCTCGTTAGTCCTAGACCCTCACTCAGCCTTTTCTCCTTCTGACCCTCAGGGAGGCAGACGATGCTGACTCAGTCAGTGAGAAGAGTCCAAACTGGGAAGAGGACCCCCAGCACCTTTTCTAAGCCTGCTGATCCCCTGGAGAGTGAGTCATGGCTGGAGCAGGGAAGGCCTGGAGGGCTGGGGTCTCTACTGAGCTTACTAAGTGAATCTCTGAAACCAGGGTGTGACGCTTTCATGTTAACCCACTTTCTGTGGGGACTGGGGATTGAAACCAGGGACACTTTGCTACTGAGCTACGTGCCCAGTTCTTTTTATTTTTTATTTTGAAACAGGGTCTCACTAAGTTGCTCAGTCTTGCTAAGTTGCTGAGGCTGGTCTTGAATTTGTGATCTTCCTGCTTTAGCATCCTGATTTGTTAGGACGACAGGCATGTGCCACTGCACCTGGTTGTGTAAAGTCCCTTTTACAAGGCATTTGGCCTACATCTCTGTCCAGACAAAGAAATAGCATAGGACAGCTAAGAATAATGAAGCTACCTATTTTATTCTAAGAATGCTGCAGAGCTTCCTGGAGCCAGAGCACAGGCAGGTGAGGAGGCAGGAGGATGGAGAGAGAACAGGAGCTTAGCTTTGCTAAGGGGATTTTAAGCCAGAGAGTAATGTGGTTCAAGCCACACAGAGAAAGCATATCCCAACTGCAGTTTTGAGGAGGGGTAAGATGGGGTAGAAGGAGACCCTTGAGGTAGAGAGACCAGGCAGGAGTTACTGCCATGGCTCCTCCAGGCCGATGGAGGACTGTGCCTTGCAGGTACAGAGGGGATGGAGAGATACTGGTGAGACAAGTATGGCAGGACCTGAAATGATGGGGTGGCCGGGTGGGTGAGAGGTATCAGGGAGGACCCCAGGGGTTGAGCAGGAAAGGAGAACTGGAGCTCACTGTGCCTCTAGAGATAGCTCTTCCCCACCCAACTCTCTCAGGTCCAGGTGAGTGGACAACATGGTTCAACATTGACCACCCCGGCGGACAGGGTGACTATGAGCGGCTGGATGCCATTCGCTTCTATTATGGAGATCGTATGTGTGCCCGTCCCCTGAAGCTAGAAGCTCGGACCACTGACTGGATACCTGCGGGCAGCACTGGCCAGGTGGTCCATGGTAGTCCCCGTGAGGGCTTCTGGTGCCTTAACAGAGAGCAGCGTCCTGGCCAGAACTGTTCAAATTACACTGTGCGCTTCCTTTGCCCACCAGGTGAGTCTGAAGGACCCCTACCCACTACCTCCCCCTCCAGTGTCGACACCGGGAGAGGCCACGACCTGCCTCTGGCCGCAGGAACTCTGAACATCACACACCATGCTTCCAACTCAGAAGTGCCATCAGCTCCCAAATATTGTTCCGTATTCATGGGAGCCCTCCCATCACCCCATTGTATTGTGCTTGTGTCGCTCAGTGGTGAAGAGCATAGTCTCTGGAGTTGGGCTGCTGGGATTTGAATCCAGAACCTACCGTGAGGAACTGTGTTCCCTAGATAAATTTTCTAATGTTCTCTCACCATTGTCTCATATGTAAGACAAGGGTACCAGTAAATCTTCATGGGGTTTTGTTTGTTTTGGTGCTGGAAATTCAACCCAGGGGTGCTTAACCACCGAGCCACATCCCCAGTCCTTTTTATTTTTTATTTTATTTTTTATGTTTTTAAAATTTTTTTTTAGTATTAAAAATATGGACACAATATCTTTATATTTATTTATTTATTTTTATGTGGTGCTGAGGATCAAAACCTGTGCCTCACACGTGCTAGGCAAGAGCTCTACAATGGAGCTACAACCCCAGCCCCAGTCCTTTTTTATTTTTTCACTTTGAGATAGGGTCTTGCTAAGTTGCTTAGAGCGTTGCTAAGTTGCTGAGGCTGGCTTAGAACTGTGGTCCTCCTACCTCCGTCTCTCAAGTCTCTAGGAATATGCCACTGTGCCTGGGCTTCATAGGGTTTTTATGAGGATTAAATGAAATAATGAATGTAGAGGACTGAACCCAGATTCACCAAGTGTTAGTTTCTGTTTTTGCTCCTATGCCATGCTAGCTATCCACACTATTTGAACTTGACAACTAACCTTAGAGGCCTAAGACCTGTCTTGACAGGTTGCATGAGGTGTAGAGAGGTTAGGTAACTCTTCATGATTACACAGCCTATAAGTACAGAGCAGGGATTTGAATCCTGTCTGTGTTTGCAGAGTCCAGCTTCTTTACACTCTCCCACCCCTGCACTGGATAATTCAGTTGTTAGTGATGGTCAGCTGCAGGCCTGCTTGCTTTTGTTTTGAGGTTTGTTTGCTTGTTTTGGTATCTGGTATTGAACCCAGAGGTGCTTAACTGCTGAGCCACATCCCCAGCCCTTTTTTATATTTTATTTAGAGACAGGGTCTTACTAAGTTGCTTAGGGCCTTGTTAAATTGTTGAGGCTGGCTTTGAACTCACGATCCTCCTGCCTCAGCCTCCTCAGCCCCTGGGATTACAGACGTGTGCCTCGGCACTCGGCCTGTTTTTACATACTGGAACCCAGGGATGATCTACCACTAAGCTATATCCCTAACCCTTTTTTATTTTTTATTTTGAGACAGGCTCTCACTAAGTTGCTGAGGCTTGAACTTGCAATCCTCTTGCCTCAGCTTCTCAAGTCACTGGGACCACCATGCCAATTGTAGTCCTGCTAACTTTGGATAGGCACCTTCCCCCCTGGGGATCTGCTAGTCCACATAATCTTATGCTACATTAAGTGGTAGTGGTGTTCTCCTGGGTAAGATCAGAGCCCTCATTCTTGCACACAGGCCTCAGACCAGAGGTAAGGAGGATGGGGAGTAGGAGGCTGGATGTTGGAGTCACTGCAGGCCAGAGCCTGTGTGCAGAAAGCACATGGCTGTTTCCACATTGGTGGAGAAGGAAGCTGGTGCTGCCCTCGGGAAGCATATCAAATCCCAGTGTTTGACCCAGCAAGCCCCACTCAGGACCATCCCAACCCATATGGTGCCTTTGCACAAATTAGAGACACTACTTCTTCAAGATTTTGACTTCCCTGTATTGGAAAAATCATTACAATAAAAATAAATATCAGTGACATCTACAATGTAAATGGGGGCCCTGTCTTTCCTTACCAGATAGAAAAAACAGCCTCAGGATCAGGTTTCCTGACAGAGTCCCCTTGGGAGGGGAGGAAAGTCAGATTATCTGCTGATCAATTTGCAGGGTCCCTGCGCCAAGACACAGAGCGCATCTGGAGCCCTTGGTCACCCTGGAGCAAGTGCTCAGCTCCCTGTGGTCACACTGGGGTCCAGACTCGCACACGCACCTGCTTGGCAGAGTCGGTGTCACTATGTGATGAGGCTACTGAAGAGGGCCAGCTCTGTGTGAGCCAGGCCTGTCCAGGTACCACCCTCCTTTCTGGCACTGGGCATGGTGTGGTGGGTGAGGTCAAGACAGCATAGAAAGATGGGTTAAAGGGTCAGTCTGAGATAGATTCCTTCATTCACTCATCAAGTATTAATTGAATATCTATTATGTGCTCCAAGGTGGGATATAGAGAGTAATTAGGAACACAGAACAAGGTCAATAATTATAGCTTAGAGGAATACGGAGAAGCTCCTTTGAGGAGGTGTCTTGGGCTTAGTTTTAAAGGATAGGTAGGAATTAGTTGTGCAGGCTGATAAGGAAGGATAACAAAGGCCTAAGGAAGAAGGGGAGCACATGTGAATCTACAGGCTGGGAAGTGCTGAGGGAGGGCCCTAATCCGTATGAACCCTGCTAATGTGACTTCTTGTTCCACAGCCTGTGACCTGACCTGCTCCATGGGCCAGGTGAATGCTGACTGTGATGCCTGCATGTGTCAGGACTTCATGCTTCATGGGGCTGTCTCCCTTCCTGGGGGTGCCCCAGCCTCAGGGGCCACTGTCTACCTGCTGACCAAGACGCCTAAGATGCTGACCAAGACAGACAGCCAGGGGAGGTTTCAAGTCCCTGGCTTGTGCCCTGATGGTAAAAGCACCCTGAAGATCACGAAGACCAAGTTTGCCCCTATTTTGCTCACAATACCCAAGAGTCATCTGAAGACAGCCACCATCAATGCAGAGTTCATGAGAGCAGGTACCTAAGTTCTCTGAGGTTGGGTGAGTGAGGAGGGGTGACGTGCTAAGACTGGCTTTCCAGCTTACTCAGAGTAAAACCCCAAATCCTTACTATGGCCCACGAGGCTCTAAATCATCTAGCTCTCCCTTATTTCTTTATTTTTCCTCTCCTAGTACTCCCCCAATATGGAGTCACTCTACTCTAGCCAACTGGCCTCCTGGCAAATATAGACATACTCTTACCTCAAATGCAAAGGCTTGCATTTGCTGTGTGGACTCTGTAGCGTGTTCTTCCCCTAGATATTCATAGGTTTTGTTCCCTGGCCACATTATCCAAAATTATAATATAGTGTAAGGTTTGGAAGTCATAGAGGAGTTGGGGAGCTCAGAAATGGTGCAGAATGGTAAAAAACAAACAACCCCCCCCCAAAAAAAAAAAACTGCTGGAGGCAGCAGAACATTAATATTGTGCTATTCAAAACCACTAGTTTTGTTTCAGTTGTAGTACTTGGGAATCGTGGCAGGCACAAGGTCCACCTACAAGCTGCTTGACAGGCCATAGGAACAAGCAGTGGTAAATGCCTATTATCTCAGTGGCTCAGGAGGCTGAGGCAGGAGAATCACAAATTCAAAGCCAGCCTCAGCAACTTAACGAGGCCCTAAGCAACTTAGCAAGACCCTGTCTCAAAATAAAGTATAAAAAATTGCTGGTTATGCAGCTCAGTGGTCAGGCTGAGGGGTGGAAGCAGTAGACTCCATTCTAGACTGGTTCCCTTAGCTATTCAGACCATTAGAGATGGGCCTGAGGTGAGGGTGAAGCCATACAATTTGAACACCATCTGGGACCCTGAGAAAGCAAGGCTCTTAGAACCTGTGACAAAGAAAAAAATCCAAACACTGTTTTTCATCTTCTGTCCCAGAGACTCCGTACATCGTGACGAACCCAGAGACAAAAGCACGGAGAGTTGGGCAGAGCGTGTCCCTGTGCTGTAAGGCCACAGGCAAGCCCAGTCCCGACAAGTACTTCTGGTGTGTATTCTGCCAGTTACTCTTCCCAGTTTTCTTTTTGGAAACAAGAGGTTTCTTGCATTGGGTCAGGGATTAATAATAGTAACCAATAAGCCAGGTGCAGTGGCGTATGCCTGTAATCCCAGAGGCTTGGGAGGCTGAGGCAGGAGGATTGCAAGTTTGAAGCCAGCCTCAACAAAAGCAAGGTGCTAAGCAACTCAGTGAGACCCTGTCTCTAAATGAAATACAAAATAGGGTTGGGGATGTGGCTCAGTGGTTGAGTGTCCCTGGGTTCAATCCCTGGTACCCCAACCCCCCCACCAGCAAAAAAAAACCCAGAAACCAATAGAATAAAGTTCTAAGTAAGGTAGCCTGGATATTTGTGTTTACAAGTGGGAACTGCAGGGTTGAGGCTGCCTAGACCACTGGGAAGCCCTCTTGTACCCTCAAACTTATGGTCCCCCAGATCATCGCTGGTCTCAGGGTCCTTGACCTGCATGTTCTCAGGACAAAGTACAGGTTCCTCAATCCCTCTTTCCCCAATAAAAACAGTGTCAGAAGCCCCAAGAGCTGGAGTCTTTTACTCTCCACAAACATTTTATAGCCACTACCTTGTTTGACAATCCCAACAATTCTCTGAGGTCAGCTGGAAGCTAAAGCAGGAAGCTACAGCTCAGAGAGATGAGAGACGATTTGTCCAAGGATCCACAACCAGTTAAATGGCAGGCCTGGGATTTCAAACCAATTCCTTTGACTCCTAAGCCAATCAGTGCTCTTCAGGCATGTCACAGCCGATGTTGATGTCTGCAGGAATCCGTTTGCCATTTGTCTCCCTGACTCCTTGCTCCTGGGACTATCCTTAGATATACCTGCCCTCCCACTGCCCACTCCTACTCTACTTCTTCATCACTCACAGGTACCACAATGACACATTGCTGGATCCCTCCCTCTACAAGCATGAGAGCAAGCTGGTGCTGAAGAACCTGCAGCAGGACCAGGCTGGAGACTACTTTTGCAAGGCACAGAGTGATGCTGGGGCTGTAAAGTCCCAGGTTGCCCAGCTGACTGTCATAGGTAAGAGCCTATGTCTGGGTCCTGAATCTGCAATGAGGCTCACTGAACACCCACTGAGCATAGGTAGGAAGTAAAAGCTCAGGCTTTTGTGAGCTGTGCAAAGTGCCATGCCTTCTGGTACACAGACCTGATGGCACAGACCTGATTCCTGCTGTCACAGAGCCACCATTTGAGGAGGGGTGAAGAAATGTAAATGAGACAAACAAGTAGCAGGGATTGAACCCAGGTACACTTTACCACTGAGCTACATCCCCAATCCCTTTAATTTTGAGACAGGGTCTTGCTAAGTTGCTAAGTCTAGTCTTGAACTTGCAATCCTCCTGCCTCAGCCTCCCGAGTGACTGGATTACAGGCATGGGGCTGTGGATGCTAGTAGTGAGAGACCTGATTTCCAAGTGGCTGCTTTCAGTTGGAGCTTCAGTAATGGTTTTCAGTCTTGGCTTTCCTTTGGCACCACCTATTGAAAGTTTCAAAAATTACTGATATCTCTGCCTTTTACCCCTAGAGAGTCTGATTTAATTTGGGATATGGCCTGAGCATGCATGATTTAAAAACTGCCCCAGTAATTCTAATTTGCAGCCCATGTTTGAATCCCTGGTCTTAAAGAATTGGCAGTTACTGTGTGTAGAGGTATACAGATGAAGGGTCTGGCATGGGCAAAGGTACAGAAGTGGGGAACTGAGGGGGCTTTATAAGAAACAGTGACCTGATTATAGTTGGCTTCTAGAAGAGAACTGGAGGGAAAGAAATTCAGAAGCCAAAGATCTATCAAAAATCTGTCCTTGGAAAGTGAGGGAGAAAGAGGATATCTTAGTAATTGGCCAAAACAAAACAAAACAAGAGGCAAAGAGAATTTATTGGAGGAATTCTGGAATATTTCACAGACTCCAAGAAAATTGAGCAACAGGCAAAACAAAAATTTGGACCTCAACAAAGACATGGAGCCCCCAGCAGTGGTTCCCAGCTCATCTCACCAATGCTTCCTGTTTGGCACAGTGATTTTTAAAAAAATACTATCTTAACTATTCCACAGTTCAATTTATAGAGAGTAACAACATCTAATTTCCAAATATATATGTGCATGGCCTTAACTACAAAATACAGGAAAAATAAAGAGAAAGTAATTTTAACATAAAATAGTAATATTTCGATATCTAAACGCTTTGGCACATTGACTTGAGAAGATAGAGGTCAGACATATGTACTTACATCCAGAGTCACCATGAATTGATAGCTACAAATGCTGATGGATACAGAAGTATCATTTTGGTGGTTCATAGTCCTTGGGTAATGTTGTTGTAGGGATGTAATTTTCCTGATATAAGGAACAATTCTTGGTGTTGTTTCAAGCTAAACAAAGTACAGTCTCAGATTGATTTATATGGTAGTTGCATTCTTGAAAAATTCAGTGTGTTGGGGCCATGTAAAAAATACCAGGCTAAAATCCTTTTAAACAGGGTTTCTACCTTTTTGAATGTCTCACAGGATATGTGAAAGTCATGCAGGATGCAGAATATTTTTTTAATGCAGAAAAGTGCCAGGCATTGCTGGACCTAGAGCATCAGAAGCCATGCCCACCATATGCCAGTAGTGCCCCCAATTTTGGTGATGACTACAATACCCTCACACATGTTCAAGACCTCTCTATTGAGAACCACTACTCTAGTGACGTCAGCAACCAATTCCATTTCCCCATCTATAAAATGATATTTGTGGGCTGGGGTTGTAGCTCAGTGGTAGAGCGTTTGTCTTGCATGCTTGGGGACTGGGTTCGATCCTCAGAGCCACATAAATAAATAAAAATAAAGGCATTGTGCCCATCTACAACTTAAAAAAAAAAGTCTTCAAAAAATGAGATTTGTAATGGTTGTTCCCTCAGAGAGTTCTGTCAGAGATATGGCTATCCCAAGGATATTGCAAAGGATTGTCCTTTGGAAACTGAGAAGAGGTAACAATGAGGTACTCGGTGTAGGGTATGAACTTCCACTTTAACATTTCCACATTTCTTCTTTAGCACTTGATGAGAGTCCCTGCAACCCAACCCCTGAGAGCTACCTTATCCGGCTTCCCCATGACTGCTTCCAGAATGCCACCAACTCCTTCTACTATGATGTGGGCCACTGCCCGGTCAAGACCTGTGCAGGGCAGCAGGATAATGGGATCAGGTGCCGGGATGCTGTGGAGAACTGCTGTGGCATCTCCAAAACTGAGGAGAGGGAGATCCAGTGCAGTGGATATACGCTGCCCACCAAAGTGGCCACGGAGTGCAGCTGCCAGCGGTGTACAGAGACCCGGAGCATTGTGCGGGGACGTGTCAGTGCTGCTGACAACGGGGAGCCCATGCGCTTTGGCCATGTGTACATGGGGAACAGCCGTGTGAGCATGACTGGTTACAAGGGCACTTTCACCCTCCATGTCCCCCAGGACACTGAGAGGCTGGTGCTCACATTTGTGGACAGGCTGCAGAAATTTGTCAACACTACCAAAGTGCTGCCCTTCAACAGGAAGGGGAGTGCTGTGTTCCATGAGATCAAGATGCTCCGCCGGAAAGAGCCCATCACTCTGGAAGCCATGGAGACCAATATCATCCCTCTTGGGGAGGTGGTTGGAGAAGACCCTGTGGCGGAACTGGAGATCCCAGCCCAGAGTTTTTACAGGCAGAATGGAGAGCCCTACATGGGAAAAGTGAAGGCCAGTGTGACCTTCCTGGATCCCCGGAATATTTCCACAGCCACAGCTACCCAGAGTGACCTGAACTTCATCAATGATGAAGGAGACACCTTCCCTCTTCGGACATATGGCATGTTCTCTGTGGACTTCACAGATGAGGCCAACTCAGAGCCACTTAATGCTGGCAAGGTGAAGGTCCACCTTGACTCGACCCAGGTCAAGATGCCAGAGCATGTGCCCACAATGAAACTCTGGTCCCTCAACCCAGACACAGGGCTGTGGGAGGAAGAAGGCGATTTCAAATTTGAAAGCCAAAGGAGGAACAAAAGGGAAGAAAGAACCTTCCTGGTGGGCAACATGGAGATCCGTGAGAGGAGGCTCTTTAACCTGGATGTCCCTGAAAGCAGGAGGTGCTACATCAAGGTGAGGGCCTACCGGAGCGAGAGGTTCTTGCCCAGTGAGCAAATCCAAGGGGTTGTAGTCTCTGTGATCAATCTGGAGCCCAGAACTGGCTTCTCATCCAACCCGAGGGCCTGGGGTCGCTTTGACAGTGTCATCACAGGCCCCAATGGGGCCTGTCTGCCTGCCTTCTGTGATGACCAGTCCCCTGATGCCTACTCTGCCTATGTCTTGGCAAGCCTGGCAGGGGAGGAACTGGAAGCAGTGGAGTCTGCTCCTAAATTCAACCCAAATGCCATTGGTGTCCCTCAGCCCTACCTCAATAAGCTCAAGTACCGTCGGACAGATCATGAGGACCCACGGGTCAAAAAGACAGCTTTCCAGATCAGCATGGCCAAGCCAAGGCCCAACTCAGCTGAGGAGAGCAATGGGCCTATCTATGCCTTCGAGAACCTCCGGGCATGTGAGGAGGCCCCACCCAGTGCAGCCCACTTTCGGTTCTACCAGATTGAGGGGGATCACTATGACTACAACACAGTTCCCTTCAATGAAGATGACCCTATGAGCTGGACTGAAGACTACCTGGCATGGTGGCCCAAGCCAATGGAGTTCAGGGCATGCTACATCAAGGTAAAGATCGTGGGGCCAGTGGAGGTGAATGTGCGATCGCGCAACATGGGGGGCACTCACCGGCGGACCGTGGGGAAGCTGTACGGAATCCGAGACGTGAGGAGTACTCGGGACAGGGACCAGCCCAATGTCTCATCTGCTTGTCTGGAGTTCAAGTGCAGTGGGATGCTCTATGACCAGGACCGTGTGGACCGCACACTGGTGAAGATCATCCCCCAGGGCAGCTGCCATCGAGCTAGTGTAAACTCCATGCTACATGAGTACCTGGTCAACCACCTACCCTTGGCAGTCAACAATGATACTAGTGAGTACACCATGCTGGCACCCCTGGACCCACTGGGACACAACTATGGCATCTATACTGTCACGGACCAGGACCCTCGCGTGGCCAAGGAGATTGCACTTGGCAGGTGCTTTGATGGCACATCGGATGGCTCCTCCAGAATCATGAAGAGCAACGTGGGAGTGGCTCTCACCTTTAACTGTGCAGAGAGGCAAGTGGGCCGTCAGAGTGCTTTCCAGTACCTCCAAAGCACCCCGGCCCGGTTGCCTGCTGCAGGCACTGTGCAAGGAAGGGTGCCCTCAAGGAGGCAACAGCGGGCAAGTAGGGAAGGCCAGCGCCGGCGCGCAGGGGTGGCCTCTCTGAGGATTCCTGGAGATGCTCAACAGCCTCTGAGCAACTAAGTCTTGTGGTTCTTCATACTTTACTCCCCCCACCTCACGTGACAGCCATTGTGAGACTGATGCACAAACTGTCACTCAGTTAATTTAAACACATCTGTTTTGGTGCAATTTGCTTGTTTGTTTCTTCATGCCTTTACTTATTGTCTTTGTCCCATGACACTGATTGGCACATAGCCCCCAAAATGACAAATAAAGCCTCTGTGTGCTATGTGACATCTTGACATCTGCCATGGGAAACACAAGAAATTGGCCACTGGTAAAACCCTGTATCTTTGACTGTTCTTCATTGAGTGCCATTAATGCAAGTGTACTTCCTTTTCTTTTAGCGTGTTTTGCTCATCTCTGCAATAATGATAATCTGATGCTGAAGATCAAATAACCAATATAAAGCATATTTCTTGGCCATGCTCTGCAAGATGTAAGCAAGGCCTCCTTCACAATTCATACATATAGGTGGCGGTGAAATAAAGAAATAAACTACAGTGTTTTTACTTGAAATGTAAAGAACTTATTTATTACTTTGCTGAATTTGGAACTCTAGTGCACAAAGTTAGGCTATTGAAATAGGATAGTCATAGTTCCTCTACCAACTCCAGAAAGAATATCTTCTTGTATCTTCAGTCATACTAGGTTGATAGTTGTGTCTCCTTCATATTTGCTTTTACTCTTGCTCATGGCAGATGTCACTATGAACTTTCATTCTGAGGCCACTGTTCTGTCTTTTAACCATTACAGTGAGCCAGCTACTCAGAGAAGCACATGGACTCCAGTTACAAGGCCCTGTGAGGCCCAGTGTCCCTAAGTTAAGGGCTGGGCAACCAGACACACACTCCAGCAGTCAAGTTTATTCTCATGGATCATATTTTCCATTTGCAGAGAAGAGCAGAGATTCCTGGAGTTGTGAGCATGTTCTGGGCTCCTGAGCAAGACTAAAAATATGTCCCAATTTTTGTCTTTCTTTCCAATACTGTGGTGCTTATCCAATAGCTTAGGCAAGTTGGCCAAGTGGTACTTCAGTTCCCCACAAGCCCATTGCCTTCTCCAGCTGGGATGGCTGACCTCACTCCCAAATGTTGGGTGCTCTGTGGGTCTGTCTTTTCTTTTTTTTTCTTTCCAAACTCTTATAAAGATGTTCCACTTTTCCAGACAAAAGATCTCTGCTGTGTATAATAACCCCTGTCCCTGGAGTAAAACAACTGGTCCAAATGGACAGGGCTTTGTTTTTGGAGAAGACATTCAGTTTAAAATAGTAAATCAGAGGCCAGTGGCTGGTGCCAGAACAATCTTGTAGGCATCAACAGTCAGGGTAGTGGGGAGTTGGGTGGGGTAAGGTGCACTCAGGTTGTTCCTCTCCCAACCCCTCCAGAACAGGCAGTAAAGAGGCCAGAAGGATTAGGAGAGGAGAGAGCATTCTTTTTTTTTTAATATTTATTTTTTAGTTATCGGCGGACACAACATCTTTGTATGTGATGCTGAGGATCGAACACGGGCTGCATGCATGCCAGGTGAGCGCGCTACCGCTTGAGCCACATCTCCAGCCCTGGGAGAGCATTCTTTATTATAATCAGGACAAACAACTTTTCTTGACCTGCGGCCAACCCAGCATAGTTCCTTTTGGCCACTTCTGGCCTATGCCGGAATTGTATTCTTTTTGTTTTGTTTTGTTTTGGATACCAGGGATTGAACTCAGGGGCACTTGACCACTGAGCCACATCCCTAGCCTATTTTGTATTTTATTTAGAGACAGAATCTCACTGAATTGCTTGTGCCTCGCTTTTGCAGAGGCTGGCTTTGAACTCATGATCTTCCTGCCTCAGCCTCCCACTGAGGATTACAGGCATGCATCACCACACCGGGCCAGAATTGAATTCTTTTTTAAAAATTTTTAGCTGTAGATGGACACAATACCTTTATTTTATTTAGTTTGTTTTAGTGGTGCTGGGGATTGAACCCAGTGCCTCACGCATGCTAGGCAAGTGCTCTACCACTGAACCACAACCCCAGCCCCAGAATTGTACTCTTAAATCAACATCTGCCCAGTCCCTAGGAGTTGAGTTTGTAATCAGAAATTCTGTGGTTGAGGGGCTGGGGATGTGGCTCAAGCGGTAACTCGCTTGCCTGCCATGTGCGGGGCACTGGGTTCGATCCTTAGCACCACGTAAAAATAAAATAAAGATGTTGTGTCCACTGAAAACTAAAAAAATAAATAAATAAATATTAAAAAATTCTCTCTCTAAAAAAAAAAAAAAGAAATTCTGTGGTTGAACAGTCCATCCCAAAGATCATTGAGAAAGTGAGCACAGGCATGGCTAGTTCTAGTGGTATGTATTTATCAATTCATTTATTTAGAGACAGGGTCTCACTATATTGCTCAGGGTGGTCTCCAACTCCTGGGCTTAAGCAATCCTCCAGCCTCAGCCTCTCAAGTAGCTGCAATGACAGATACCTGATGGCATATGCCACCAGGTCCAGCTTCCTTATGGTCTTTGATTGCAATTTGACCTATTTCCAAATTTCTCTTCTGTCCCACTGCTTCCAGGGAATAGCTCTCACTAATGGCTTATGGGGGCAGCGGGGGGTATTGACTGCCAAGGCAAAAGGGTCAGTATTCAGCTATTTGCAGCACAGACTGCTTCAGGAGTCAGAGGACATGCTGCCTCAACCTGACCACCAGTTCCTCCCAACTCATAGAGAGGAATTTCGGGGGAAGGTGGACTGACTGGGTCTCCACTCCATGCCCTTCCCTTGCTGTTCTCAGTTGAGAGCCTGAATAAATGGAAACCAGCAGCATCAGCTAGTACCTGACTTTTTTCTTCACTCATCATGACATATGTCCAATGCCTGCTAGATACCAGGCCATGAGTGCAAGTAGACAGGACTTGTATATGAAATAATAGAAAATATCCTATAAGTGGGGGCACCCGACTTGGATGAGGTGGTGATTCGGGGAGCTTTTAAAGGAAGTGACATCTAGTTTGACATCTGAATGATAGCTAGGATCTGGCTTGCTGATGGTGCAGCTATCAGGAACAAGGGGCACAAGCAGATAGAGGCTGGGAGGGGCTGGCAGGCAGATACTTTTCTTTCAGATGAGGAAACCCTGTTGAGCTGAGCTCATGACACCCAATTCCTTAATGTTTGTCTTGCTTCCAAAGCTAGATGTGCTCCTTGCCGGCTGTGCAACTTTCCCCTAGACCTCAATTTCCTCACCTATGAATGAAGGGACAGGTCTAGATTAGAAACTAGATGGTCTCTAAAGTCCTGTTCATGGTTTTCAGTGAGGTTAAGGGCACAGTTCCCAGGATGGCTTTGATTCAGAACCGTGCTGATTCTCAGGTTATTCCTTTCTCTGTGTAGACTGCATTCTTGCTGGACAAATGTTCACCTCAGAAAAGCCCTGGGTTTTCAGTCGCAGCCTGCTGGACAGTGGCTGATCACCCGTTTCTAGGTGTGAAGTGTATGAGGATGGATGTCTGACAGCAGGAGGAAAGGCACAGACAGGAAGGTAGGGGGCCCAAGGGGCTGCTTCTGCTTATGAGCAGGGGTGTTTTCAAACAGAATGCTCTCAAGAGTTCACAGAGCTCTAGCAGCTGGGGTGACAGAGAAATATGTCACCAGGATGTCCCAGAGAGATCAGAGTCTGAAAGGATTGAGAGGATTTAAGCAAAACTGGAAGCAGAGCAGGGGCGGGTGGGGTTTCAGACAAAGAGAACTGGTTACAGCCAAGAAGTAGAGAGGGGCCTGCACCATGGAAGTCTTCTGATGATGAGTCAGGAACACAATGCCAGCTAACCTCAGGAAACCACTGGAGTCCGGAACTGCAGAGCCATCAGGATTCAGGTCATCACTCTCTGGTTTTGATTCTCTTATTCTCCCTCACACTCAGTGGTTTCTGCCCTCTCAGTCTCTAACTTGATCTTGCTCTTTATGCCCTATTTCTCAGATTATCTGTCTGATGTGACTTCTCTGTTTCTCTCTCCTATTTCTAGATTTCTCTCTCTGGCAATCTCTTTCATTCTCTTCCTTTCACTCCTCTATATAGGAATCCTTGGTTCTTGATAAATTAGCCTTCTCCATTCTGTGCACATAGAAGATGGTTATCATATTTGCATCCTTCTCATGATCTGTCTTGAAGATTAAATCTGATCGGTCCAGTTTGAATTGGGGCTCCACCTCTAGTCCAATCAATTGAGGCCATGGCAGAGTGGGCCACAGAGGGCAATGTCTGTTATCTAAGCAGATTCCTTGAGAAGAGGGAGAATCTGGTTCTCCTCAGTGAAGTTTACCTCTGCACTTTAGTCTACTTTGGGGTGGGGACATGTGTTAGCTTTTCGTGACTGTGACCAAAATACCTGAGGAGAACAACTTAGAGGAGGAAAAGTTTATGTTCGACTCACTGTTTCCAAGGTCTCAGTACACAGGCAGCTGATTCCATTGCTGTGGGTACAAGATGAGGCAGAAGATCATGGCAGAAGGGTGTGACAGGAAAGCTGCTCAGTTCATGGCAGCAAGGAAGGAAAGAGAAAAAGATTTCAGGGACAGATATAATCCCCAAGGTCATAGCTTCCAGTGATCCTCTCCCTCCAGCCATGCCTCTCCTGCCAGCAGTCCATGCAAATTATTAATCCACCAAATGGATCAATCCACTAATGGATTACAGCTCTCATGATCTACGCTTTTCACCTCTGATCATTGCTGCATTGCCCAACACATGAACTCTTCAGGGGACATTCCAGATCCAAACCATAACAGCACAAAGGACAGTGCTTTATACTGCTGGGTAGGTGAGAGCAATTCTGAGAAAGAGTCCTTGTGAGCTGAGGAGACACCCCAAAAGATAAATTCTTCAGCATGTGTTCAGTGAGCAGACCACTGTAGGGTTGTGGAGAGTTTAGGGTTTTTCATTTCCAAACAGGAAGAATTTTTGTTTATTTATTTTTGGTACTGAGGATTGAACCCAGGAGCACTTTATCACTTAGCTACATCACCAGCCTTTTTATTTTTTATTTTGAGACACGGTCTTTCTAAGTTGCTTAGGGCCTCTCTAAGCTGTTGAGGCTGGTCTTGAATTTGTGATCATCCTGCCTTAGCCTCCCAAGTCACTGGGATTACAGGTGTGTGCCATTGCACAGGTGGGATTTTTAAATTTATCAGATAAGATCTGTGTGATACCTGTTCTTTGAAATCTGTTGAATCTGGCTTCATTACTTACTACCTGAACAATTTTTATAATTTGCATTGGGTGCAGGGCTCATGTTCTGTTCAATAAATTAGGAGTATGCTGAAATCTTCCACTAGATGGTACCCTTGGTAACTTTTCTGATTCCTCAATTTGGGGGTTAAACATTTTGAGGATATTTTAATGGGTATATATTAAGTATTGAATGTTCATGCCTTCTTATGAGTTAGAATTTTTTATTTTTTTATAGTTTTGTTCTTTGGTCTTACATGCTTTTTAAATTTTTTTGTACCAGGGATTGAACACAGGGACATTTAAC